ACCTATGTTTGTTAAAAGATGGCAGACACCCTGCACGCAAATGGCAGATCAAAATGAAAACCAAACAACCACATAATATTTCACTACTTACTAGCCAAGAACCAAGAAAAGTGCCTGTATATGGATGCTAGATGGTGTCAAGCTGATGAAGAGTAATAGCAAACTCTGGTACCCAAAACTCATCAAGTCCCATATAAAGTCTCAAAGTTCTTTTGACTTGTCAAAGTTTCTGTTATGTGGAGATTAGAATGCGCACCTCAAATGGCAGAAGATTGAAAGAAAGTAAGCAACGGCGCACAAAGAGCCCAAGGTTGCTACTCGGATCCAGCATGATTTGATCATCATCCATGACATGGGATTCGGAGCCACCCAAAATTCCTAGTTAGAAAATCGCAAAATTCAGGATAACCGGTACACATTAATTAACACTCATAATAAGTAATTTATACTTGAAGAGTAATCTATCCTTGAAGAGTAATCTATACTTGAAAAGTGTTGAAGATATGTGATCTGATGATTTGATATTGTAAATATTAGGAAAGATTAGATTTGATTGATTATAGTATCATATGATTATAGTATCATATATTAATTAGGTAATAGATTGATTTAGATTAGCACGATTTTAGGATCTAAATTAGGTTACATTTGTGTATATATATTTGTATATTGTGTAGTCCAAATATATGAAGAAAAGTATTTTCTCTCCCTTTTTCTTAGTTTTCAAAAAGTAATCTATAATTCCCACACTCAAAACTCCACAGCCAATATTGACATTTGCAATAATCTGATAAAGGCAAAGATCAAAAGTGATTACTTTCTACACTAAGACCATACCTCTCAAATCATTAAAGAAGTTAAACAAGTCATCAGGTGAGGCCAATGATGATAGTCTACGAGTTAAATGATCAATCAACCAATCATTTAGGAAGTCACCGAGTTCCTTCAACTGCCCAATGAGCTCATCCAGCTTCGGCTCAAAAATACCATCACATGACTACAATTCACCACCAAACACAAACATCAGGCGCAACCCTATCCCCAATCTAAATGCTGCAAATGTAGCACATCCTACAAAAATCGTGGTTTATTGCTCTGGAAGCATTAGCTCATTCTATGAAAAATGTCGCAAATTCTTTATTTAAAAAAAACTCCCTTTTTCTATAAATATGAACAGTCAAAGACTACACATTAAAAATTCTTCTATAACCATCTGGCAGTTGAATCTCTAGAGGACAAACTTAATCAAGCTGAAGAAAAAGAAAAAAATTCAAATGAATTAACAGTGTACATTGTGCATTGACTATCATAACTCCATATTCACTTGAGGGATAATTAATTCCTCACCTTCGAGAGAGCAAAAAGGAACAAGCCGAGACGGTTGTGATGGGAAACGGAAGAGAAGGGAAACGGAACGGAAATCTGAGTTGGCGGAGCATAGACTTGAATCAAAATGCAAATGGAAACCTTGTGCGGCGTAACAGTGAAGGCCCCCGGCGGCTTTAATATTCCGGCCATTGCAGATTTCACTGTTCTAATCTGCTCTGCTACGATAATCTGCAACTGAATTGAAGCTTCAATAATGGAGAATTGAAGATTTTGCTAATTGGCTGTATTTAGGGTTTCTAAAATGCAGGAGGGATGGAGAAGAGGGATCCTCTATTGGCGCTATGAATTTAAAGCGGCATTCTACTTTAGTTTAATTTTAAACCCTCCAAGTCTAATGTTGGTGGACATTTCAGTCCTTAATGTTTAGAGCTGTCAAAATGAGATCAACAAGTTTAAGCATGAAACAAAATGAGTGAAATAAATGACCAATAAAATGCACAACACAAAAGAGCTGTCAATAAAAATGCATAACACATAAAGAGTGAAATAAAATGAAATGATTAATTTCAAGGCTTTCATTGGAAATGCAATGAAAGTACGCGCTCGCTGACCACTTGACCACATGAGACAAAATATAAAGCAATTAACTAAAAATTGAGGAAAACAAAGCAAAAATTTAAAAAAAATTGCAAAAATTAAATGCACCCATGCCCCTTATGGGTTACATCAGGTCCGAAAAGAGAGAATAAAATTAATTACAACTTGACTTGGCAATTGGAAAATCTAATTGATCTAAAAGCTAACTAAAATAACTGTTAAGGACCTTATTGAAAACATCAAAATAAAGTTCTGGGGTCAAATTATCAAGTCCTGATAATTTGGGGAATTAATTACAAGACAAGTGAAAATTGAGGGACTGAAGCTGTAAATTCCTGGAAATTAATCATCTTCTCCACGATAGTATTCCGGGCCGCTGCTGCGTTGATTCCCTTCAACAGGAATTCGCCAGAAAATGGAAATTATTACCTCCGGCTAGCATTGGACTAGCCGGAGTTTACCCTCTCTCCCACGCCCAAACACACCATACACACCCTAAACCCTCACAAAATGCAGAATAATAGCAGAAATGAAAAAGAAAAAAAAGGCAGAAAAAAGCGCTCAAGTTTCAACTCCCTCAGTCCTCTTGGTTTTCTGGAGACACTCACAGGCTCCGATCAGCGTTGGACTAATAGGAACTCATAGGAACTCCTTCCTACGTGCACAGATTCAGGAAATTCATGCCTTTAGTTAAGTTTTCATTTGGGGTTCATTTGAGCATTTGGTCAAATATGTGATAGACATGAGAAAAGCCACAGATGAACACAAGTTAGAGTTAATCCAAACTTCTTAGAAACACAAGGGATTTCAGTCCAATTAGCACATAAAGCATGTATGTTCACAAAATCGTTGATAAACAACAGAAAAATTGCAAAGGACAAATTCAAGAAAAATGTGCTTTAAGAGCTTCAAGAATCTGAGCTTAAAGAAAAACTGAAATTAAAGGAAAAGGAGAGCTTACAATGCTCTCTTGGTGAAGATTTGCAGGTGGTGGTGGTGGAAAGTTCCGATGGTGGCAGCGGCAACAGCGACTCCCTGCTGATTCCTCTGTTTTTAACTTTTGCGCTTTTCTGCCTTTTCGTTTTCTCTTTTTTTCCTTCCTTTCTGTGTTTTTTAATGGGGCCGGGAATCCTAGGTATTGGAAAGATTCTGAAGATTATTTCAGGAGCTGATGAAGAAACGCAACAATGATTTGAAGATGATCATTGAGAGGCGGTAGGCTCTGGTTTTTTTTATCGTGATTTTATGAATGGGAAAAAGGGATCCTCTTCCCTTGACTATGACCGGAAGAACGAGAATTCCCGGACTACCAGTGCAAAAGGAAAAATATGAAGATGATGACATGAGGGCAAATTTCGACCAAAAATGCTCAATTCAAAAATCGGTGTTTTGCGACAATCTCTTTTCCCGCCCACAGTCGCCGCATATCTGAAATGCAACGACCATAAAAATAATTTCTTATCAAACAGTTGGATTATGGTTCTAATTTCTTATTACAAAAATGAAAAATAAATCTCACAAAAAATATTTCGCTTTCCTTTATCCTTGTTTGTTCTCATTAATAATTCTCTTTAATGTTTAAATATATTGATATTTTCTTTTAAAAATATTTGAATATCACAACTTATGGTAAAAATGTGAGAGCCTAAAAAATTTCATGTCTTATTTAAAATTTAGCGCATGTTATATTTCCTTTTGTTATTAATTGACTTACATATTAATTACTTCTTTTAATAAACAAATGAATCAATACACCTTAGGAAAAATTGTATTCTTTACACCATGAAGTATTATTAATATTAGTGGAACTAGGAATTTGTTGTGGCATTAGCATAAAAAAAAAGAGAGAGAGAGACGCATGAAAAACAACTTGTCTTCTTGCATGACATATTGCGTGCAAGTTTAGAGAAATATGACCTTCATTCTTGCCATTAAAAAGAAACAACCTTCCTTCTTGTCATTAAAGAACCATCTTCTTTCTTAAACAACAAGAGCCAAGAGAAAGCTAGGAAAGGAACCAAACAACCAGTAGCTTCTCCTCCTCTCCTTCACGCTTACACAAAAAAACAAGAAACTTGTACTTAACCTAGTTCAAGAACCGAAAGGGAAAACAGAAATTTGTTTCAACCAAGAAACTATAAGGAACTAGAGGAACCAAATTTAGCCAAGAGCCCCACGCCAAAAACAATGCGTGAATTGAACCTCTCGGATATGATGGCGAAAGAAGTCAAGATAATGATAGCTTGAACCTGAGGTTCCTATTTTTTATTTGTTGTAGACAAACTTGTACTATGAGAATTAGTGGAAAAATTCTTACTTTAAGCCTATTGGTTTGTATATAAGTGTGAATGTTATGGTCAAATTGATGGAGTAAATGTTACTTTGGGAGTGTATTGTAGTGAGTTCTAACGAGAGTCAGACAGACGGTCTGCTAAACCTTAAGGTATGCTCTAGGGTGATGTAGGGCTGTCACAGCTAGTATCAGAACTAGTTTCATATGGTCTCTGCGCGAGGTGAGCCTAGGCCAACGGATTAGGGTTCTATCTACACAAAGAAGTGTGTCAGGATATGAAATTGTTGAAATAAGGTCTAATTGGGCGTGTAATTCAATAACGGTGTCGTTTGGGTTAGTAGCTAGTTAAGTCGGTTAAGTAGCAACTTGCAGGTTGTTAAGAATTGTTATAAATGGGGGGCCCACGCATGTGCAGAGACAGAATTTTTGAGTATAAACTTGCATCTCATTTCCTCCTTCCAATTCTGCTCTTCCCTTCTCTCATTCTCTGATTCTCTCTCTCTTCACCCTTCTCCATTCATTCTCCAATTTCAATTCCAATCCATAATTCGGATTTAGCAAATGCACTCAAATTCCTGACAAATTGGTACCAAAGCTAGAAGATCCTTGGAACGTACCATTAGCAATGGCAGAAGACACTAGATTCCGGACATTGGAGGAGCAAGTAAGGAAACAAGAAATCAAACTACAGGAATTGGTAGATTCTCTCCAGGCGTCATAGTTGGAACAACAACAAATTAAGAAGGAACTGAAACAGGAACTAGATGATAGTAACAAACGGATGGAAGGCTTGCTAACAGGAATGGAGCAGAACTTCCGCAGGATTCTGGAGCAAAAGCTGAGCAATTTTCTGATAAGGATGACTCCTTCGAAAGAGAAGGCAACCGAAGGAGAGGAAGGAGTGCGGACAGTTCAGACGCCACTTTTACCAACTCCGCCAGCTCACCACAGATTACAGGTGGAAGGTGAAGCTCAAAGACTTCTCAAGAAGGATTGGAGTAAGTTTCAGATTCCAAATCCTCCTAAAATTGACTTACAGTTGTTTTCTGGAGAACATCCTAGGGATTGGTTGAGGAAATGTAATAAATATTTCTTGAACTATCAAGTTCCGAATGAACATAAAATTGAAATCACTGAAATGTACTTGGAAGGCAAGGCTGACAAATGGTTTCAAGGTGTAAAAATTGAAAGGCCTAGGTTAGGTTGGGAGGAATTTGAGGATCTGTTATGTAGGAGGTTTAATGACCAAACGTGCAAGGATATAGTGGAAGAATTCAATAAACTGCAGCAAGTAGGCACTATTGATGACTATCAAGAGAGATTTGAGGAATTGAAGCCTCTGATGATGATCAAAAATCGAAACCTGGATGAAAACTATTTCATTTCTAGTTTCATAAGTGGACTTAAGGAAGAAATTAAACTAGTGGTCAGGATGCTGAAGCCTACTACACTATCTGAAGCTTTTGAGTTGTCTCAATGGTAAGAGCAAGCCATAAGATTCCAGAACAAAAGCTCCAAGGAAAACACTAGGTCATTGGGAGAAAACAAATTTGGCATAACCAGAAGTACTAACACCTTTGTTGGAGCCAATTCTTACAAGGTCCCTGCCACTAGCAATTTTAAACACACTAAGTTTAGGAGTTCACCAGGGGATACTAGAGAGCCAACAAAGTTGTCTGCGCAGGAGTTGCAGTATAGGAGGAGTAATGGTTTGTGTTTCAGGTGTGGAGAGAAGTATGGGATGGGACAACAATGTAAAGTAGGTCACTCAAATTGCATGACACTGGAAGAAGAAGAGGATTCTGCTTTTGAGGATGCACTTGGAGAACAAGATGAGCAGACTAGGAATCCTGGGCAGGCCATGGAAATGTCACTGCATGCCTTATCTGAGGCTCTTAAGAGGAAGACTATTACACTCTCTGGAATCTTAGATGGGGAGGAAGTGCTGATATTGGTGGACACGGGGAGCTCAGACAGCTACATTAGCAGTGAGCTAGTAATTGGGATGGACATAAGCTATCAGTGGGTGGATCAACCTTTCTCTGTCATAATGGGAAATGGATCATGTGTCACCAGCAATGCAATATGCAATGGGGTGCAGTGGAGGATAAATCAACACAACTTCAGGTATAACCTTAAGGTAATGGAACTGGGAGGTTGAGACATAATCCTAGGAGTGGACTGGATGACACACTTCAGTCCCATCACATTCGACTTCCAACAGCTCAAGATATCCCTACACCATGAAGGAGATGAAATCTACCTACATGGTCAAGCAGATAACTGTGACATGGATTTGATCAGGGGCAAGGACTTAAGAACATTTATAGAATACAAGAGACAGATGTGTATGGCTATAAGTAGCCAACAGGACAAGGACCGGGAAGGGGAGTCAGAACCTACACCTCAAGAAGTAGAGACTCTGCTACAAGACTATAAGGATGTCTTCCAGACTCCTAGCTCATTACCTCCAAGTAGGAGCGTAGACCATGAGATACCTCTCAAACAGGAGGCTCAACCATTCAAACTAAAGCCTTACAGATATCCTCACTGTCACAAGGAGGAGATAGAGAAACAGGTTGCTGAAATGCTGCAGAAAGGCATTGTTAAACACAGTAACAGTCCCTTTGCCTCCCCTGTACTACTAGTCAAGAAGAAGGAAGGCACCTGGAGGTTTTGTGTGGACTACAGGAAGCTGAATGAGATCACTATCAAAGACAGATTTCCAATCCCCAATGTAGATGAACTGTTGGATGAGTTATCGGGAGCTGTGTTTAAAACCAAGTTAGATTTGACTGCAGGTTATCACCAAATCAGAGTGAAACCATAGGACACCTTTAAAACAGCATTTCAAACTCACTGTGGTCATTTTGAATTTTTGGTAATGCCTTTTGGTCTCACAAATGCCCCTGCAACCTTTCAGTCACTCATGAATCAGGTGTTCCAACCTTACCTGAGGAAATTTGTCTTAGTTTTCTTTGACGATATCTTGATATACAGCCCCACACTGGAAGATCATGTCCAACATCTAAGGATTGTACTGGAACTGCTTAGAGATCATCAACTATATGTGAAGAAATCCAAGTGTGCGTTTGCTCAGAAAAAAGTTGACTACCTGGGGCATACTATCACTGATCAGGGGGTTAGTATGGATGACTCTAAGGTCCATAGCATTTCACAATGGCCAGTACCAAGATCTGTCAAGGAACTGAGGGGATTCTTGGGCCTCACTGGCTACTATAGAAGGTTCATTCGACAATATGGACTTGTATGCAAACCACTGACCGAGTTACTTAGAAAGGACAATTTTAAGTGGAACACACAGGCACAGACTGCGTTTGATCTCTTGAAGAAACTCATGTGCTTAGCTCCTGTTCTTAAGTTGCCAGATTTCAAGAAGGCTTTTGTGATAGAGACAGATGCTAGTGGAGGAGGCATTGGAGCAGTTCTGATGCAGGAAGGACACCCCATAGCCTTCTTGAGCAAGGCACTGTCCACAAGGAACCTGGGCTTATCAGTCTATGAGAAAGAGTTGCTTGCCCTGGTGATGGCAGTTACCAAATGGAGGCACTACTTGGTTGGTAATCACTTCATTATCCGAACTGAACATCAATCATTGAAGTACCTGCAGATCAGAAGCTGAACACTACCCTTCAGCACAAATGGATGACCAAGCTAATGGGATTGGACTATGAGATACAATACAAGAGGGGTGCTGAGAATCAAGTAGCAGATGCACTATCAAGGAGACCTGATGATGTTCACAACCTTCCACTTAGCTCTTGTCTAGCCATCACCACTGTTAGACCTGGATGGATTGAAGAACTGCAGAAGAGCTATGAGGTTGACTCACAGTATCAAGATATTATAGCCCAGTTACTGCTGGACCCAACTCACATTCTGACTACACTTGGGTTGATGGAGTACTTAGGTATCAAGGTAAGATTTATATTGGAAGTGCCAATGACACCAGAAGCAAGGTCATTCAGGTCCTACATGCCTCAGCTTTAAGGGGCCATTCTGGTCAGAGAAATTGTTGGCAGAAGGTGAAGAGCCTATTTTACTGGCAGGAATGAAGGAAGAAGTAGTGTCATTCATACGGAACTGTGACATATGCCAGAGAAATAAGTCTGAGCATGTTCCCTACCTTGGACTACTGCAACCAATTACCATTCCTAAGCAAGCTTGGTCTCACATATCCATGGATTTTATTGAGAAACTGCCAAAATCTCAAGGTTTTGATACCATATTGGTAGTCATTGACAGATTCACCAAGTTTGGCCACTTTATTATGCTCACTCATCCCTTCACAGCCAAGACAGTAGCTCAAGCCTTCCTAGACAACATCTACAGAATGCATGGTCTGCCAGAATCCATCATTACTGACAGAGATAGGATTTTTACTAGTGGGTTCTGGAGGGAGCTGTTCAAGGTGATGGGAACTGAACTGCATTATATTTCATCCTACCATCCCCAATTTGATGGACAAAGCGAACGACTCGACCAGTGTGTGGAGAACTATCTCAGATGCATGACTGGAGAAATGCCTTCCTAGTGGAGCAAGTGGGTGGCAATGGCTGAGTGGTGGTACAACTCTACCTACGATTCTAGTCTTGAAATGACTCCATTTGAGGCCTTGTTTGGATACAAACTAGTACCCCTGTCCCTAGGTCCCTACTTAGAGTCCGTGGTACCTGCAGCTTCTGACATGATCCAAGAGAGGAACAGGATCGCCAATTGCATCAAGGATAACTTAGCCAAGGCTCAACAAAGAATGAAGTATTTTGCTGATCAACACAGAACTGAAAGGGAGTTTGCTGTGGGCGACTGGGTGTTTCTGAAGCTGTAGCCATACAGACAACAAACTATTGCAGTCAGGAAGTGCCTCAAGTTATCTGCCAAGTTCTTTGGTCCTTTCCAAGTAGAAGAGAAGATTGGGTCAGTAGCCTATAAGCTAAAGCTACCTGTGGGCACTAAACTGCACCTTGTGTTCCATGTGTCTTTACTCAAAAAGAAGTTGGGGCCATTACAGAATAGATCCACCAAACTACCAGAGTTAGATACTCAGGATCAGTGTCCTCTGCAACCAGAACTCATCCTGAAGCGGAGGGCCATTATGCGGGGAGGCCAACCTGTTATCCAACTTTTGATCAAATGGAATCAACTGGACTATGAGGAAGCATCATGGGAGGACAAGTCCTTTATTGAACACCAGTTTCCCACGTTCCAGACTTGAGGACAAGTCTGTTCTTAAGAGGCAGGAATTGTCAGGATATGAAATTGTTGAAATAAGGTCTAATTGGGCGTAATTCAATAACGGTGTCGTTTGGGTTAGTAGTTAGTTAAGTCGGTTAAGTAGCAACTTGCAGGTTGTTAAGAATTGTTATAAATGGGGGGCCCACGCATGTGCAGAGACAGAATTTTTGAGTATAAACTTGCATCTCATTTCCTCCTTCCAATTCTGCTCTTCCCTTCTCTCATTCTCTGATTCTCTCTCTCTTCACCCTTCTTCATTCATTCTCCAATTTCAATTCCAATCCGTAATTCGGATTTAGCAAATGCACTCAAGTTCCTAACAAAGTGCAAGGAATTAAGTATTGTGCGGGACTAAGTGCCACATTCGATGGGGGCCACCTCTAAAAACCATACAAGCCAGTCTGAACATGGCCAAGTGGAAAGTCTAAATTCCAATAGGTTTTACAAGAATGCAAAATCCTAAAGGTGGGGAGAATGTAGTATCCCATATCAGAAGTAGGAAGGAAATGGAATGGGTATAGATACTTGGGTCCAATGGCTATTGAGTAATTTGGGTTAATTATTTTAGACCAGTGGATTTTGATTGCCACATATTGACGAGTATAGAAAGATGGATGATTGAAACTATGTATAGACCATTGGGGTTTTGGTTTAAATAATGTTATGATTAAGAATAACTATCCCTTGCCACATATTGACGAACTATTTGATCAACTTCAAGGAGTTGTGCTATTTATAAGATAGATATCAGGTAGGGATATATTATCAACTACAAATTAAGGAGGAAGATGTACTTAAGACAGCCTTTAATACACAATATGGACATTATGCATTTGTAGTGATGCCTTTTCGACTAACTAATGCCCCGACAGCATTCATAGGTTTAATACATCGGGTTTTTAGGCCATACTTGGATCAATTCATGGTGATTCATCGAGAATGTTTTGGTGTATTCAAAAACTTGGGAAGAACATGAGCAGCACTTGAGAATAGTATTGCAAACTTTAGAGGAGCATCAATTGTATGTTAAGCTTAATAAGTGTGAGTTTTGGTTAGAGAAAGTGTCGTTCCTAGGGCATATCATTTTTAAAGGATGAAATCACTATGGATCCAGCTAAGGTAGAGACTATTGTTAATTGGAAACAGTCGAAAAACTCTACTAAAATCCATAGTTTCATGGGTTTAACGGGATCCTATTTATCCAAAACTTTTACAAGCACATGAGAGAATTTAGAAGACGAAATTCTTTTAAGGGGGAGAGAGTGTGAGGGATCGAAAATTTTCATGCCTTATGTAAAATTTAGTGAATGTTACATTTCCTTTTGTTATTGATTGAGTTACATGTTCATTGCTCTATTTAATAAACAATTGAATCGATACACCTTAGGAGAAATTATCTCCTTTACACCATGAATTATTAATGCTAGTGGAACTAGGAATTTGTTGTGGCATTAGCATTAAAAAAAAAAAAAAAAACAGACGCATACTACACTTGTCTTCTTGCATGACATATTGCGTGCAAGTTTAGAGAAACATCACCTTCATTCTTGCCATTAAAAAGAAACAACTTTCCTTCTTGCCATTAAAGAACCATCTTTTTTCTTAAACAACAAGAGCTGAGAGCAACCTAGGCAAGGAACCAAAGAACCAACAGCTTCTCCTCCTCTCCTTCACCCTTACACAATAAAACAAGAAACCTGTATTTAGCATAGTTCAAGAACCGGGAGGGAAAGCAGAAATTTGTTTCAGCCAATAAACTGTGAGGAACTAGAGGAATTGAATTTAGGCAAGAACCCCACCCCAAAGACAATGCGTGAATTGAACCTTTCGGATACGAGGGTGAAATAAGTTAAGATAACGATAGCTTGAGCCTGAGATCCCTATTTTATATTTATTGTAGACCAACTTGTACTATGAGAATTAGTGGAAAAATTCTTACTTTAAGCTATTGGTTCGTATATAAGTGTGAATGTATGGTTGAATTGATGGAGTAAATATTATTTTGGGAGTGTATTGTAGTGAGTCAAGGAGGCTGTCCGCTGAACCCTAAGGTATGTCCTAGAGTAAGGTAGGGCCATCACAAAAAACCTATAGAATTTATTTAGTAAAAATAACTTATATAATTGCTATAATTACACCTGAGATTGTAATACTATTTCCTGGACATTACAATATTTTTTTAACTAAATAATATAATAATGTCATTGTCTAAAATAAAATTATCAAAGAATTATTTATTTGAGGAAATAATGTCTTTTATAGCTCTCATCCATAGAAAATCACCCTACATGTTTGACCATTTCTCTACACTCTGGACAATCTATATGCAAATTCTTATACATTGACATTTACATAATTTTTATACATTTAAACGTCTCGCTCAAAATATTACAACGCTTTTCATTTATTTACATTAGATAGTTATAATTGAACTTGAATTATTAAAGTCTTATCAATAATATCCATAAATATAAAAAATAATTACATTACATTAATCCATGTTTGTAGTATGATCTTGTCTGTGTTTATTGATTTTGAGTTGATATTAAGTCCCCAATAGTAAGTGACCTAACA